GCACCCCGAGCTAACGAATTTAAAATAGAATATTACGACCATAATATCATCCGAACTAATCAAGACCAATTTCTAGATGACGACCGCTTCGCTAACCCACAACTAACAGAAAAATTCTTCATCAAAACGTCATATGTATTCACACTTAATATTTTTGATAGAAAATATGATCACATCATTTCTGAAGCACTAACTGATATTCAAGCTTACGAAAGTTTTAAAGAAAAGTTTCAGTTATTTTCACTAACCTTTCACTTCCTTGCACCACATGAACGCGATTTGCACTGTTCACACGACATTATGTTACGCACTAAACAGACTCACACATATACATATTATCGCTTTATACAAAATCATTTTGATTTACATACTCCATCAAGACAACCACACCATCGTTTTCAGTTTCTTAACTCGAAGTACACTTCACCATTTTTTCTTAATTTCACCCATTGCATCAAAGATACTAACCTCCACGGCATCCTCTGTAATTATGACCCAGTAACACAAATGTATATATTTTGTCCCATCACGAAGACCTTTAATGCCGACGAATCCAGACCCTTCCTTATCCCACATGAATTTATCCAACCTATAGAAATCCCAATATTAGAATTTATTCACAATACTAAATATAATCACAAAATATGTAACCTCATTCAAAACACACCTTATGAGTTTGCAGTAGGCACCGAAGAACTAAAAACCATTAAAGCACTTCAATTGCTTTGGCCACTGCTCCAAACTAAAAACATCATTCGCATACTAGCAAAATTACTAACAACTTCGGACATAATACACGACATCTTTCCCCACGGCTTTTTCCCAGACGATTAACAGGTAAGTATGATTTAAAAATATTCTTAACTAATAAATTTAAATTAGTACTAACCATTCTTTACTCATGTTTCTTTTACATTTTTAGTCTTCATACCACGATCATCTGCAAAAAACAGAAAATAAAAATAAAAAATAAATTTGTTAAAATTCTTCTAAACTTCATTAATATTTTACACTAGATAATCTGATAAAATTCATACCAAATGTAGTAAATTAATTTATAAATTATTCCCCCATTAAGCAGTAAATTTACAATATACTTTATTTACAATATAACCCTAATATAGAAACCCGTGACGAATTTGCAGACTCCGAACCATCTCCATCCAATAATTTTCAAACCAACTCAATTTTTTCAAAACCCCCTTTTCAACCGATCCCACCAAATAACCCACTCCCATCCATTTCTACTCCTTCTTATGCTTCACAAGTAACCCCAACCTATTCTCCATTTCATTCCGACCAATCATCTAATAATTCTCCAGATACCCCCCAAATCTCCCGGGAACTCGATAATTTTATCACCCTACAACAACAGCTAATACACCCTAACATCCTCACTATAAATCAAATTTCATCCACAATAGAATCCTCAAACCCACCTACTCCTACACCCTCCTCAGCTTACACTGCATCATTAGCAAACTCATCCACATCCACCGAATCATCAAATAGCACTCACCGAGCTTATCGCACTTTTAAAAGAAAATTCCCGAACCATCCATTCCCGACCAAACCAGGAACAGCCTGCGAATATATTAATCATCCACACCACACCAACACGAAAGATTTTCTAGCAATCACCTTACCCTCATTCCCACAATATACTTTAAACACACCTTTCGACACTAACGACACACGTAGTTATGTAGATGAACATGTTTTAATGCCAACAATTCATTGGACAGCATATTACCATTTTACTAATCCCCTTTGCCTGCCACTATCTAGTACTCATAACGATATAGAAAAGAATAAAGATATGCTATATAGACTCACCGCAACACTAACACCTAGACAATTTACTTATATAGGATATAAAAAATTATTAAAAACATTCACTGCACCCCGAGCTAACGAATTTACAATAGAATATTACGACCATAATAGCATCCGAACTAATCAAGACCAATTTCTAGATGACGACCGCTTCGCTAACCCACAACTAACAGAAAAATTCTTCATCAAAACGTCATATGTATTCACACTTAATATTTTTTATAGAAAATATGATCACATCATTTCTGAAGCACTAACTGATATTCAAGCTTACGAAAGTTTTAAAGAAAAATTTCAGTTATTTTCACTAAGCTTTCACTTCCTTGCACCACATGAACGCGATTTGCACTGTTCACACGACATTATGTTACGCACTAAACAGACTCACACATATACATATTATCGCTTTATACAAAATCATTTTGATTTACATACTCCATCAAGACAACCACACCATCGTTTTCAGTTTCTTAACTCGAAGTACACTTCACCATTTTTTCTTAATTTCACCTATTGCATCAAAGATACTAACCTCCACGGCATCCTCTGTAATTATGACCCAGTAACACAAATGTATATATTTTGTCCCATCACGAAGACCTTTAATGCCGACGAATCCAGACCCTTCCTTATCCCACATGAATTTATCCAACCTATAGAAATCCCAATATTAGAATTTATTCACAATACTAAATATAATCACAAAATATATAACCTCATTCAAAACACACCTTATGAGTTTGCAGTAGGCACCGAAGAACTAAAAACCATTAAAGCACTTCAATTGCTTTGGCCACTGCTCCAAACTAAAAACATCATTCGCATGCTAGCAAAATTACTAACAACTTCGGACATAATACACGGTATCTTTCCCCACGGCTTTTTCCCAGACGATTAACAGGTAAGTATAATTTAAAAATATTCTTAACTAATAAATTTAAATTAGTACTAACCATTCTTTACTCATGTTTCTTTTACATTTTTAGTCTTCATACCACGATCATCTGCAAAAAACACAAAATAAAAATAAAAAATAAACTTGTTAAAATTCTTCTAAACTTCATTGATATTTTACACGAGATAATCTGATAAAATTCATACCAAATGTAGTAAATTAATTTATAAATTATTCCCCCATTAAGCAGTAAATTTAATTATGATGAAAATTTATAGCTTTAAATTTCCCCCAACAACTAGCAGTAAATTTGAAATTCTATGTAATAAATTGATAAAATGAAAATGCAGTACTAACCTTTTGATATTTTCATTCACTCGCACAGGAATTCTATCCAAACTCGCACAGCTCGCCCACGAAGAATTGTTTAAATAATGATTTTAATTTTCAAGTTTTCACACTCAACAACTCTAACACACGATAACAAGTTTCAAACTTTCCTTTAACCCGGTTGGAAAGGAATTATATACTAAACCAAACTAACCAACGCAGCTTACTAAACACCACAAATCATAAAATAACAGCATGACTAAGAAAAGAAAACCAACGGTACCCAAACCGAATTAACCCTGTTTAAAACTGGATAATTTATTCTTTTGAAGACTATAAAGTCTAAAAAAGAAATAATAAAACACAAAAAAGTCGAAAGACAAACCCATAACAAAAACAATTTGATTTTTGAAAAAAGGACACAACCAAAGAAACATAAGAAAGACCAACATAAACCCAACATAAAACGTTATCACATAACAGGACCTCTCAAAGAAACCGCACGAAATCATACTCCCACTCCTGGCCTAACCCACCAGAGAGGACGTCCTGAGGACATCCAAAGACAAAATTATCCCATTACACTCGAACAAGAATGGCTAACCACAACCGATATGCCGTCCACAATCACAACTCAAAGGATTTAGAGTACGACTTGACTTCGCAGAAAAGGACTTCATTGAACTAGACCAATGACCACCTCGATGTTCAAGTACACGTACAGATCCGAGTTACAAGGCATCCCTTCCACACACAATCTCCACGCCATTCCCAGACGAGGTTGAACACAAAACAAGTTCTCTAAATAATACAGAAAAACCCGTCATAGCAAACAATTTTGAACTCAGATTGATTTCATTGGGAAACACAGTCGTTGTCATAAAACGACACAACGATTGATGTCCCTAACTCCAGCGTCCTGGAACTTCTCTAACAAGAGGAACCGGACAAGAATACGATGTTCGCCGAATACCAACGTTCATCATCCATCCTTTGAATTGCAGAAAGATAATTCTAAAAAAACTCTGTAAAACCCGGATGGGTGGAACCTGATCTAAACTATATTTTATGATTGGATAAATTAGATATTTTACCACTGTAAAGTATTTAATATTAACCAATCATGATCCATCTAACTAACAACCCACTTATTTGTAAGTGCTGAAATTACTTGTAATTTCAGCACCAGAGAGATTTGAATTTAACTTAGAAATTAGTTGTCTCTCCAAGAGAACTTCAGCAGCCGCAACAAACCAGTCTACCCTAGATCTATTGAGCCTAGCAGAGAATCTATGCGGCCGAAAGTAAGATAGCGTGACGAGCAGACGGTGTACCCTATCCGAAATTACTCTATGAGTTAACTACATCGATCCTAACTCAAGTTTGTGATGATTTTTCGTTTCTTTTTTTTCAGGAAAAGTCTTCAAATGCTATAATAACTACAGAAAGTGCATTCATAGATATTAAAAATTTAAGAATGTCCTTTGGAATATGTGCTCTTTGAGTTCAATTTGAATTAATTTGCTAAAAGTTAGGCAAATTTGCCCTGCTATTACGAAAGAAATGGCGCGATAAAACGTGATAAATTTTCGAAAATGTTTCGAAAATGTAATTTATTTTATGGATTTCCCAGCGGAATAAAAACTTATGCTAACATTACACTTTTCACAAATTGAGTTAATTTAAATCAAAAGTGTAATTTTTTCTTGAAATTCGAAGATCTTTAAGACCATAAGTTTTTTCTTTCAAAATTGAAGTGTTTTTTTTTTCTGTTTCTTTACGTTCATTGACTCTTTTTCAACTGTCTATTGGCTATGTTTGATTATTTTATGAGCCATCTTTTTTGCGGTTCTTTGGAGTATTTTAAGTCAGGTTTAGAAGGCTGGTTCTGAAAATATTAATCGAAATCGGTTTAAGCCATTGTTGAATCTTGTTTCAGACTAGTGGCGGAGCATGAAAGTGAGACACAGCAGCTAAACAAAAAGGTGGATGAGGCCAATCAAGAGAAAGAAGCACTGCAGAAACAGGTAAAAAAACAGAGCCCTAATTCAGACCCGATGTTATTAGAATTGGTGTGTAAGTTATGCTTTTTCTACCCAGGCTGTTGGTTATCATTGTACTCGCAGTTCTCATTGGTAATACTTACCGAGCTTGCAATGGACTGGGCCGTACAATATTTTTTTTCTGATCTCGAGGGGTTTCCTCGTGACAAGTCTGACTGACAGAAAAGTAAACGATCTCTTTAACTATTCCTTTGTGATACTTGATAAAGAATATCAAACTTATTCAATGGTTAAGCATAGCGATAAAAAGAGATCCGAGTTATTTTATCCAATGATAATTCAAGAGTGAAAGCATAAGACAAATCTGATGGGTAGTTGAAAGTCAGTGTTTTGATTGGCTAGGAATGTCTGCCATTGGTTGCTTCTGCTAGGAGGACAGTCACCATGATGCACTGATAATCGCTGTTGTTGTTGTAGGTGGAGGTGTTGGGAATGGAGTTGGAGCTACAGAAGAGTGAGAATGTCAAGGCACCCACCACTGCCATGAAGAGTATGGTGGACAAACTCAGGAAACAACTGGAGGACAAGGAGGCCAAAATGAAGGTAAGTCACAGTTACATTCACCAGAGTTCAAGGTCAGAGGAGATTCAGTCATTGTTGTATGATGACGACAGACACAGACTATCCATGTAATACGTTACCATCCTGGTCCAAGTGCTCCTCTTTTGGTTCGACTTGTAAGTACAATAAGTTGTTGTTTGGTAGTTATCTACCGAACGCGCATAGTCGAGACAGCGATTTGAGGCGAGCACGAAGTCTAAACATAGATAGAATTGGTAGTAATTGTCGAAATGTTATGTGAGTACCTGGATCCCGGTAGTATTGACCTGTGGGAGTATTATGTTATCACCACTACTGGGCGTTAGTAGGACCAAAAAGTACCATTGCTCTGTTAGAACTCGGTTGGTGCCTAGTCGGATCTCTTCAACTATATCCCCCTTGGCAAAAGGGGGATATTAGTTAGGTTTAAAATTCGCATATGCTTAACCGTTAATTTATTTCTTTACAGGGGGGATATTTTTTTACTAGATACCCGAGGGAGGGATATAGTTACAGAGATCCGCCTAGTTCGATGCATTGTATCTGCCGTGAGACTATATGTGCAATGTGAACAGAATTTGTGCCTGTTCACTGTGAACTTAATTGTTGAATGTGTACATGTATTTGCAGTCAGTGCTAGCTTGTGAAGAAATTCTCATGGTAGCCACCGTTAAACATTGTATTCCTTCATTCCTCATTTATTTCCATTGATCTGCCACTGAAGTGAACTGAAATAAATACTTGCAATAGCATTTTACTGTGAAACAGTGTAAGTTGGTATTATGCGCTGTTCTGTGCTATTTGTATAATACTGTTTACGAAATACCAAATACTAGGGTTGTTATAGCCGAACAGTTTTTGTGTTACATTTAACCAGTTTAAAACCAGCTCATCGCTTCATCTTTTGATAGATGAAGTTTGACTAGAAATAGTAAAATTGATCTGTGTACATTTCAAAAGTTTCAATGATGATATTCATCAAAACAAAATCATTATCATCGTTGTTTGTCAAAACAATATACACTCCTTTAAACACATTCGGATTTGGTCGTGCTAGTTTGAGAGTTAGAAGTATGGCTTCATTTACCAATGGAGAAGTTGCTGTCATTACTGGGGCTAGTTCCGGCATCGGGGCTGGAGCTGCGATCAAGTTTGCCCAACTGGGCGTTACTAAATTGTGTCTGGCTGGACGGAATGTTGATGCTCTAAAGGAGACGCAGAAGACGTGTATTGAGATGTCGAATGACAAATTGAAAGAAGAAAATGTGCTGCTTCTAACGGGTCTGTAGAAATCAGGAATAAAAGATAGTTTTGGGGAATGTTTTTCAAGATTTGCTCTATTGTAAAAATCGAAGCCTTGCGCTGTTCAAATTATTTTCCTTCGACATGTTTTGGCTGGTGTCATGGATAAGTTTTCATAAAAGAACTTTTGAACCGACAGGTTCCGATTTTTGCTTCAAACATGGCTAACTGTAGTTCTCAGTTCTTTTCAAAATCTCTTCATGTCATCAGGAGTTTTCTTCTTCTTAATCAAAATCTTAAAATAGGGAAGCGCTTCCCCAACAAGCTATGTTTTATCCTGAGGTGATGTCACTGACGTGTCAATCTCGAAGAACATCGTTGACAAAACTATTGAAAAGTTCGGACAAATTGACATTTTGGTCAACAGCGCCGGAATAATCAAATCAGGCCCATTCGAAACATCCTCTGTCGCGAATTTCGACGAACTTATGAATATTAATGTGCGATCTGTTGTCGTTTTAACGCAGTTATGCATTCCTCATTTGAAAAAGACAAAAGGAAGCGTCGTTAACGTGTCGTCTGTGAACGGGATTCGATCCTTTGCCAATGTGGGCTACTACTGTATGAGCAAAGCAGCTGTGGATATGTTCACAAAGTGCTTGGCTTTAGAATTAGCTCCTGATGGTGTTCGTGTCAATGCGGTGAATCCGGGAGTAGTAGTTACCAACATTCATAAGCGAGGCGGAATGGATGACGAGCAGTATAGAGGGTTCCTGGAACGAGCGAAACAAACCCACCCACTTGGGAGACCGGGCGAAACTGAAGAAGTGGCTAATGCTATCACGTTTCTAGCAAGTAAACAAGCCAGTTTTATGACCGGCAATTTGACCCCAGTTGACGGCGGAAGAAATTGTGTCTGTCCCAGATGAATTTGCTAAAGACGTTTTCAAACCTGATAACGACACGCGTTTCGTAAATCGAAATAATTTTGTGCTTTTCTTATTTTTCTTTTTCTGGTAATTTGCTATTAAAAACGTTTTAAATCCGAGTAATATTTTCTAACAATAAATTATATGATTGAAACGCGTGTCTGCTGTTATAATCTGTACTTAATCTTGATATTATTGAATCTTTCAAGTCTGAATCTTCTCATTCTTCAGTTTTCAACCTTTGGTCTGAAAGGTTAAGCACCAGCTGTAAAGGGTTTCACTGATGAGCATGAAAATCGATGAGACCTACGCAGATTTTGTATAATCATTGCTACTAATTCACAAACTTAACATTGAGTCAATTGAGTGAATTGAAGTACGAAGTTTGAGAATCGCAACAATCGATATGACATCTTTCTCTAATGAAGAAGTTGTGATTATAACTGGAGCCAGTTCTGGAATAGGCGCTGGATCAGCGGCCAAATTCGCCCAACTAGGAGTTGCGAAACTGTGTCTAACCGGACGAAACCAAGAAGCCCTGAATAAAACACGAAGCGACTGCATCGCGGAATCGAAAGGACGCCTGAATGATTCCGATTTCGTCATCGTAACTGGTTCGAGTTGTTCTTCTGCTTAAAGTATTTATTAATAAGGATCAAACATTTTCAATGTGTCTAAGGTGATCATGATTGTCTTAATGCTAGGTGACATTACAAACGAAATTGTGTGTTCGGAAATAGTGGAAAAAACAGTTGCACAGTTTGGAAAAATCGACATCTTAGTGAACAATGCAGGAATGGTCAATGTCGGAACATTCGAGCATAGCCCAGTTGCGGAATTGGACCAACTAATAAACACAAATGTTAGGTCAATAGTTGTTCTTACTCAATTGTGTATTCCGTATTTGAAGAAAACAAAAGGATCGGTTGTGAATTTGTCATCTCTCTATGGCTACAGGCCCATTGCAGACGCAGGCTACCAGTGTATGGCCAAAGCAGCTGTTAATATGTACACCCAGTGTCTGGCTATGGAGCTGGCACCTCATGGTGTAAGGGTAAATGCTGTCAACCCTGGATTGATAAGAACAAGTGGATTAATTTGAGCACATACAAATAATGCCGCGACAGTGGATGTTTTTGTTTTTAAATAGCGAACTACTAATTTTTTGAAGAAAAAAAATAGTTGGCTGCTATTTTGACAAAATAAATTTTAAATGGTTAATGTTTTTTTTGGATTGTTTTGAGGCCTTTCAGATGTTTTTTTATATGGAACTTTTGTGGCGTTAAATGAAACAGTTATTTTTTGAAGTATATCTGCTCTAATCCCTCCCTATAGATATTTTGACCAGAGAATGCATGTCAGCTGAGGAGTTTGCGACAATGTTAGAACAGGCGAAGAGTTCTCACCCACTGGGTCGAACTGGAGAAGTGGAAGATGTAGCAAATGCGATTGTGTTTCTGGCCAGCAAGGCTGCCAGTTTTATGATTGGAAATCTGACTCCGGTTGATGGAGGCAGAAATTGCGTAACTAATTAACTCTGTCGTAATGTGATCCGAATTCAGTGACGAGAAAACAGTTGTTGAAAACTGAATAAACGTAGAAAACAGATTAGTTAAATTCAGAAGCAGATGCTGTTATGACATTACGAAGCCAAACTGTGCACTGGATAGGCGAACAATTTTGTATCTGTATGTTCCTGGATTCCAGAGACAAGTCTTTAAATATGTTTAAAATTTGTCGCAACGGTCAAAGGAAATGAAAGAACATACGAAGAGCAAAGGAAGCGTCTTTGTTGCGGAATCTGTTTACAATCCATAAAATGCACTGTTCGGCTTCGTAATGGAATTCATAGCCGTGGCCCTCAATCCTTTCGCTATAGATAAGGGCCCTAGAATTACGCCACAGCTTCAAAATTTACAAACATGATTGCAACTAATTTCTCAACAACTGCAAGTTCTTAAAATCTACAACTGTAAATTCTGTAATTACCTTTGCGACTATTAAGGTTGAAAGTAGGCTCATCTCAAATCGCTTTTAATATGCACTAGGATGTACTGAAAGTGTTATAGTTTTCTCCTGGATATAGCAGTAATCATGTGTGCCAACTAACATGCGATTAATGCTACGGTTGCATAATCGTTTGAAAAGCAGCACAAAATGAACCTTTTAAGTGAAAAATTCAAAAACTTCAAGCCGGTCGGAAAAAAAACAGTTTGAAGTTTTCGAGTTTCCGTTTAGTTTCGAGCAAGTAGCTCTTTAAGTAGTAGAAAACTAAGTTTTACTTCAGGAAAACTAGTATTGGATTTCATTGAGCGCAATAAAAAGTTTTTTTTTAATCAGAAAAATGTTCTGCATAGTATAAAATTATAATTCTCTTTCTTTCCAACAAACTGTTGTAGATAATGCTTCATTCACCAATCTTGTACGCGTTCATCTAGTTTTCTCGGCACACCGCGCACAAAACACGACACTAATTGAAAAAAAAAACGTTAGTTTCAAAGTTTTTTATCAATGTGGTGGGAAAATTCTGTGCTGTTCTTCTTAAGTGGAAAAACAAAATGAAGTGACTGTAACTTATATAGGTACTGATTTTTTCTTTCGTTTTTTTTGTTCAGGAAAATTTTAATTTTTGATCTTGCTTAAATAAGATTTTTCGCGGTTTGATTTTTGCATGAAAAGTTCAAATTCACGAAAAGCGTGAACGATTATCAGTTTCAAAACCGGAGTTTATGGACTTTTTTGAATATTCAGCGGAATATAAAAATTTTCTATTGATCCATTTTTGTTTTTGTTGGGGGTAGCTTAAAGAAAAAGTGCCAAAAATAAACAATTTTTGAAATTCAAAAAGCCTTAACGTGATATATTTCAATATTGAAAAATGTTCAATATTTCGTTTTTTTTTACAACCATCTGTTAGCTATATTTTGGAAAGTTCTACTGCAAAGTTGTCTCTGCGCGCTCAAATAGCTTTAAGCATTCAATTATGACTAGTGAAAACTTGAGTGAAAGTATGATTAGATCAGTCTTAGTTGTCTTGACTCTTTACTATGAAGACGCTGGTTTCCAAGGGTTTCTTGGTTATGTTTGATAGCTATGAGGTTTTTGACGACAATCGCAGTAGCTTTAGACGAATCCGATTTTCTTATCATCCTTGCAATAATCAAGGGTATTGTAATCAGGTACAAGACTTTTTCCCGTAAATAACTTAAGGCAAAGAATGGTCAAATGTGTAGGAATGTTAAATTTCAGACATGCTCAATTTGTTAAAAATGCAACCAAACTACCTTCATTCAGGTGGTAAATAGGTGTAGTCCGTTTCCGGTGTTAGTTTGTTTTCGAATAATTTTCTTGAAAAAAGTTGATTTTTTGTTCGATTTTTTGTTCGGGTTTGTTTTTTTCCGCGTTGTTTTTCTTGGGTCATTTCCGGTTTTTAAGAGTAATGAACGTAGTGCGTGCTCTTATATAGTTCTTGCTGATTTTGTTTGTTTTTTTTTTAGGAAAAACTCTTTAAGTTTGTTCACGCTCAGTTTTGTTTTATCGCGGTTTGACTGTGATTTATTTTTAAGTTCAATGTATTTCTATCGTTAAAAAGAAGGGAAACTCCACTATGGAACAGAAAAACTGTAGAGGTCAGCAAAAACGTGATGGATTTCTAGTTTCGAAAATAGAAATTAATTATCAGATTTCGAAAATTTAACCTATTGATCCAGCTTTCTCAAATTGAGTTAATTTTAACAAAAAAGTGTCCATCATAAATTGTTCTACAAATTCAAAGAGCTTTAAGGCCATCTATTTTTCTTCGAATTTCAAAAGCTGAAAATTTTGGAAAAAACAAATTGTTTTTTTTTTCTTTTTAGTTTTCTTGCGTTCAATACTCTATTCCAACTGTCAGTTGGCTATGTTATTAAAATGATATTTGTTTTTTTTTCGGTATTTATCAGTATATTTGCAATTGAAAAAAAATTGGGTGAAATTCGAATTGTTGAACTTCGTTATTCGGCTGAAATTTTGTCGTCTTAGTTGTCACATCACAAATCTTCAGGGAGGTGGACTTAAACTTTTAAAATTTGCTTTAAATCAATTTGTAGAAATTGATTCTTTTGTAGTTGAAAATGCAAGTGTTCTTTTTTCTTATCTCAGCTAGGACTTAAAACTGTTTTTATGAAATTATTTTTTTTTCTGCTCAATTTATCTGCTCAAATTTTGCCGGCTTTCTTTGCTCTTCGTAAATTTTCCTCCGTTGCTAATTTAATTTTCAAAACTCTGGCATGTTAGCTTAGAATGAACTTCTATCGAGACATACGAAAGTTTAAATTTTTGGTAGAATCAGTTTTTTTTCAACGTTTTCCTTTTTTTTTTTACTTATGTTTGTGTTTAATTCCAGCAAAATTACAAGGCATCAAATTATTTACAAAAGAAGTAAGTTCAACTGAAGCCAGCAATTCTGCCTAAGATCCGCCACAGGCATTCGCCCTCACAGCATTGAACCTAATGCCTGGGTATTACAAACAAAATATCTTTTTTCCTAAGAAAATTTGAAGATGATGGCGAATGAAAAGTTTACTGATTTGATTTATTTATGTTAAATTCTTTTTAGCGTTGTTTCAAAGCGAAGTATCTTAGTACCATCACTGGTAGCAGTAGTCGATTTGTTACCATGACACTGATCATATAAGCTGGCGAAACAAACACGAGAGCGCGATTTTCCAAAAGTTGCACTTGTAAAATTGTTTTGGTTCTGAAAGTCGCTAGTCGTAGGCCCATGTAACCGGCTTATTCAAATTTCTTGAACTTGGTCACTTTTTGGTTATTGCTTCAGCTAGCTGTGTGCCTAGATTCTTCATAACCCCCTGTAAAACAGGATAACGAACAGTATATGAGTATTGATCTGAATTATCGGAAAAATGCAGACGAATTTTCTCGAAATTTTGTTTCGGAATCCAAATCACGGGTGAAAGGGCTGTAATCTGATAATACACCTTAGTTCCCTATGCCATAATTTCTTCGATTCCGAGGGGTGATCTGAACTATAAGGATTCTAATGAAAGATAGTACAACTATGAACAGCAACCTTTAGGTACTTCGATTGATATTTGGAAGATTAAGAGATAATATCGTATCTAGTTTGTACGCTTCAGCCTATCTGTAAAAGTACTTGGCCACCATTAAATGTATTCTCAGGTTTCTTCTACCCTTTGAACTTCTTGGATAAGGCGAACTGTGTTTTGTCTTGTCTGTTGTTCGAGATCTATCATAAAATAGCGAGAACAGAAAATCGCTCTCACTTTTAGGGTTGATTGTTTTCAGGAATGAATGGTTGAAGCTCCTTCCGCAATTTCAGCATCAATTTGTGCAAAACTTTGCAATTTAACAATCCTAGTTATATCAGTTGGTTATTATTAATTTGCTTTACCGAGGACGACTTAAACATATTTAGCTTTAAAATGTCCAATAGTGAAGATAGTATTGGCATCGATTACCCTGAAAACGAGCTGTTTGATGACAGCACACCGTCGGTCTCGTCAAATGCGACCTCATCGGAGCCGAGAAAAACCGATTCGTTTCAAAAGTCGGAAAGATCGAAGTCAACGTCTTACGAACCCGAATTCTCTGAAGATTCGCCCGACGGAAGCAGTGGATCTCGTGGCAGGACCAAGACGTTCCTGGAGACATGTGCCATCGCTGAAGACTTAGGCAACGAGAAGTATCCACAGCTGGCGAAGCTGCAGTTTTTGGAAGTGCTGGCCCGTGATCATTACGAGAGGCCTCTGGTCGTGATATACGGGTGTAGATTGCCAGTGCTCAGATCCAGCAACCAGCCAGAAGTGGTGTCTTACATTAAGTTAGTGCATGCTGCTTTTCGTGATTTTCATCTTTTTCATTAGAAGTTAACGAAAAACTTGATAGCACAGCATTTTTTGAACTAGTTTTGCGAAAGTAGTATGAATATAAGCAGAATGTTCAAGAAATATATAAGGGGTTAATAGGGTTATGGAAACTATCAATAGTATTCACTGTGATTGATTGAGTCAATTGAGTCTCGAATCCAGAAGTCTACGAATATCGAATTGAATCTACGAATCCAGAAAAGAAATCATTTTTGTTTTGTGTTATTTCAGAGAAACTCTGGACTTGCTGGTGGAGAACGAATACGATGCGATCTACTTCCACTACAGCTCCAACATGTCAGCCATGAGTCAGATGTCCGCACTCAGGAAGAGTTACGGCGAGTTCGACCGCAAGTACAAGAAGAACATCAAGACACTCTACGTCGTCCACCCCAACCGAACCATGATGGTCCTCTACAACATGTTCAAAGGCTTCATCAGCAAAAAGTTCGAGAGAAAGTTACGACTGGCGAAAAACTTACACGAGCTAGAATCGGTTGTGAATTTGGAACTCATGCACATACCGATGTCTATCAAAAGCTACGATTCGGGTCGAAATGCCTGGTCAGAGTTCGGCAAAGAGTTCTCACAAGTGTCCTTGGACTCACGAGGGGTCCCGTATTTGTTCACGGAGGCAGTGGACTATCTGCGACGCACGAAAGCTACTTCAGAAGTCACGGGACTTTTCCGAGTGTCGGGATCGGGCAATAATCAGAAATCGCTGGCCAAAAAGTACAGCATATCTCCGGAAACGTTTCAGATTCCAGAAAAAACGAATGCACACGACGTGACAGGCCTTGTGAAGCAATTTTTGAACCAACTTCCAACTCCGATTCTCTACTTCGGAGTTCTCAAGTTGCCGAATTATGAAGACGATACAATTGAAGACTACATTGTTAATAACTTGGACGACAATGCGAAAGCCTCTCTACTCGTGTTGTTCGAGCTTTTCGAAGAAATTATTTCGAATAAAGCCAAAAACTCTATGAGTGAAGATAACTTGATGCGATGCACAGCTTTGAGTCTTGCCTGGTCAGAAACAGCAGATATGAATGACCTTCAGAAAATGGAATCTGTTTTCTATGTTCTGCTGAAAAAATATCAGACTATATTGGTCTAAATTGCGTGATGGTTGAATTGTTTGTACAATGGTTAATAATTTAATTATTGCGGCCGCAATAGGAGTAAAGCTAGTTTTGTAAATTCTGAATTAATATATCCCTTTTCTATCTGCTCAGCTTGAATTAATCAGGTATTTGACACTTGAAAATTTTGGAAAACTGGATTTTTTGTCGTGTAGATCGTTGATAGATCTTTTTGGAAAACTGGATTTTTTGTCGTGTAGATCGTTGATAGATCTACTTGAAATAAATATATTCAGGGATGATTTAAAGTGTCAAATACGCGTTGTTTCAAGTCTATCAATTAGAATTCAATGCAATTTCTTTTCTCAATTAACAATTTTTGTATATAAATGACTACAAAAGTGTAGTGGAATAAATATATATCCCAAGCTCGTTTTTCATGAGTCTGATATGAGACAGAAATAGTTTGAACTCGAAGTTGAACATCAACAGTGAGCTAAAGTGACCTGAGTTTCTTTATCTTAATTGATACCTATGTGTTGTGTTGTTAGGCACTGAGCAAGGCGTTAGCAGACGTGCGTGGTGAGATGGTGAAGAATGCGGCAGAGAGTATCAAGGGTAGAACCAAATTCTTCGAGGACTCCCTCAACGTTCAGCAGATTGTGGACAAACAGACCAAGGACCTACATGTAAGCACTTTCTAGAGCAATTGCATTTGAGTGTTGTTGACACTGATATATGGTAGTATTAGGATAAGTTTTAAAATGTAGTCGGTCTAAGTTGCGTGAAATACTATCAATAGAAGCGTACATTAATACTAATGACGTTGCGTGTGAACTCTACCATTTAAAGGAATAAACTATACTAATGATTGTTCAAGGATGGCTGATTGCTTTTTAAACGACCTCTTGTTTGTTGTAGCTGTAGATTTCAAATCTCAATTTAGATGAGACTACGGACAATTGTGTAATATTGTGAACTGTGTGTTTAGGAGCAACTGGCAGAGAGTAAAGCGAAAGTGGACAAATTGAAGGCTGCTCTGAGGAAAGCAAAGGAGGAGGAGGTTCACTATGAGACCGAGATCAAACACCTGAAGGAGGAAGTGCAGAAGAGGGATGATGAGTTGAAGAACAAACCAGAGAGGGACACGGGGACAGGCTCTAACCTCTTCCATGTATGAAATAATACTAATAACAAATAGTTTCCAAACAATATCTAGTTAGAGTTATATATAAATTTAAGAAACAAATCTGAGTCGTATGGGAGAACACTATTAGGCCAGCACGGCCCGTTTTCATGTGTCAATCGCAGAAGGAGTAGAAGTAGTTTGATGGTATGTATATTAAAGATCCAAATTATAAACTAGCTACCGTCTGACCCAGCTGAAAGAGTAAACAATGGCGTAAAAACCGTAAACAAGGACGCCTGTAATTTATTTGTTTTCTTAGAAACATTATTTCAAAATGTCCTCTAGTCTATGAGTGTAATCGACCATTAAAGAGAGTCCTCCTACGATGTTATCTAAGACATCATGCATGTCTTATAAAATAGAAAGAAAGTGCACAATTGCATGTGATGTGATGTGATGTGATTGTGTGTAGGCCAGTCAGGAGCCGGGGGTGAAGTTGGCGCGGGCGGTGAGTGAGGAGGGGAAGAGGTGGGGGGTGAAGGTGGACTCCCTGAAGGACAAGTTGAGATTGAAGAGTGCAGAGTGTGACAGACTTGAGAGGAGCAACAAGCTACTCAAACAGAACCTCGCCAGGTACACAATATGTAGTGCAGACTGTTGTTAAACTGAAACATATTACGTTATTGTATTATTACAAAATTGTTAGTTACTAACAAGGTCAACGTTGATGTTAACTTGGTGTTTGCGTATCGCCAGAGGCGACGGTAACCTACAGAATTTAAGTTCTTTTATACCGTTGCATGTTGTTTCATGACTTATGAAGTTGCTTCTACAGACAAGTCACCGATTAGCTGCAGTGGTAATCTCGTTAGAGATTTTTTGAGGCAATTTTTCCACGATGGAAAAGACTAACATATAAGCTGTTCAGCGCTTCACTGAGAATAACTGATGATTCTGATGAAGAATTACATGCAGTTGAAATTGATTTGGTTATTTTTCTGGGGTGGATGAGGTTAAATAATAGCGCAACCAAGAAAAGATAGAAAAATTTTCGTTGAGTTAAAAAAGTCTAGTGTGATGAGTTGAATTTTTTGCTGCGTTTACGCGATGAAATAGTATATAGATCACATTGTGAACAATCTAAGAAAAAAACTGTCTTGTTTTTTAGATTGATCAAAAACTCCGTGGTCGTGATCTGCTTCATGTTCTGAGTTGCAATGTCTTAATTGCTATCAAGTGGACTATTGATTAGTAAGTGATTGTGTTCTGTTGGTGTAGAGCGGACAAAGAGCGTGTGTCGCGCTGTGTGGCCAGGGAGTCGGACTGGACGACGACTGCCACTCAGAAGCAGCTGTTGGACATTGTGGAGGCTACGAGGAAGCAGAATCTGGAGTTGCATGATGAGGTGGCCTACCTGAAGAGACAGGCTCTGCTGGGGAAGGATGGGGCGATAGAGGAGATGCAGCTGAGAAACAGACTGCTACAGCAGAAGGTAGGAAGATTATGTAGGAAGATTATGCTACAGCAGAATGTAGGAAGAAGACAAATCAGGGGGTGTTGGAGGAGGGGAGCGGCTGTTTTCCACTCCCCTCCTCCCCCCACCCCCATATTTGAATTTCAGTTTTGAAAAACTAAGTTAACGTTGTCAGAATGAAATGAAATTTTGCATGGGGAACTAACTAACTTTTGTGAACATATTTGTCATTCATACCTCTCATCGTTAAATCACGCATTCAGCCATAATAACACGTGTAAGACAACAGAAAAAAAATTGAAAAGTTAAATGTGGGGGGGGGGGGGGGGGGAGGGAGGGATAGACGAGGGGAGGGGAGGGGAGGGAGTGGAAAAGAGCAAAGCGAAAAAATACGAACCCACTTTTCCAATTTAATTCATATAAAAAGTGTTCATTTTGGTAAACACTTTTGCCGCTTAGTATTGCAAGTTTATTAGCATGTATTCTCTGAGCTATAAGTGAGTATTGATTCGTTTCTTTAAGTCTCAGTGGTACAGTTGTTCATGTCAGACGTCTTGGATGCTCGATGGATGCTTGGAGGCGTCTTGGTCAAAATAAATTATAACCTAAAATATGATTTTTTTCATCTCTAGCGTTGTATCAGTACTTGCGATTAATTGCGGTTAAAATTGAAATTAGTAGCGCTTAAATAGTAATTACAAACATGTGTAGTTAGACGAACTGCAGGATGAATTAACTCTGAGGACCCCTCGGAAGGAGGGCAACGCTGGACTGCAGGACGCCTATGCCAGACTGATAGAGAAGGAGGAGTCCCTGCAGGAGTCTAATCTCCGTCTGGCTCAGGAGAACATCGAGCTCAAGTTCCAGGCAGAACAGGCCAAAGTGGAGATACCCAAACTCATGGTCAGTCTCATTAGCAGATGAAATTGCTTCATTAATTAAGTGCAGCATGATTTCTCAAAAATATGAAGTTGATAATATCTTATATAAACTACTCAGAAATGCGCGACTTTATTTGAAAAAGCTATGTCATAAAGACACAAGGGAAGTCGCACAATTTTGTGCACAGTTTACAAGATCTATTTCTTGAGCAGCATGTTATTTTGAGAGTTTTGTTATTTATACAAGCGACGCGAAGTGTATTATTACGAACAATTTTTTTTTCAACCTAAGTCGTAAATAAAAGTGCTCATTAGTGGCACTTTTGGTATATTTCAATTTCATCATACTTCAGCGTATTTAAGCATAGGTAATTTAATAGCATCTAGTGCTGGTTTATTTTTGGCTAGTATTAGGTCGTGCTTGAAAACAACCGGTGTTATGAAAATGTATGGGATGTTAATTTTTGTTTTTTTTTTGCGACCCTTTGGAAAATTTTTGAACTTTTTCATTTTTTCTCAAAAACTACTGAACCAATTTTCAAATCAATGGTGTCCTTGGAAAAATTGGCTGCTATTCTATGTGCCTGCATATTTTGCTAGTCTTTTTTCAGTTTACACCACGTTCTACGGCTTTCGAAAGTTTCAGTAGGGGGATTTTGACTTATTTGATTTTGAATTTGTTCATTTTCTCAAATGATAAATGCATAAATCTGAGACGAATGTTTAAACTAAAGAACTAATCATTGGGATCTCTCCTCCTCAAGCGGCTATTCCCTAAATTCGGAAGAAAAAGTCATGGCTTCAAATAAGCCCATTTTTTGACATTGTGGTGAATTTTTTAATTTTTTCTCAAAAACTACCTGCTAAATCGGAGAATAAGAGTTCAACCGGAAGAAAAGAAACGTGGTGTGCGAATCCTCCCTGCGCAAGCGGCTATGCCCTGCGTTTTAAAAAAATATGGCCCTAGAAAATGTACAATTTTTGAAACTTAACCTGTTTTTTGGAAACGTCTTTTTTCCTTCAAAAACTAGCCTGCTGATTCTGAGGTTGATAATTCATTGAAACTAACATCGTGCTTAGATTTTTCCTGTATTATCTGTTTCGCCTTATTTGTTTTGTAGAAAAGCCGATATGGACATCGGAAAAATCCATTTTTTGAAGTGTTTACCGTTTTTTTAAAGAAATTTCATCACTGTTCTCGAAAGCTACTCTGCATACGAGACTTTTTTTCATGCTTCAGTAGAGAAATTTTTGTGAATTTAGGAAAAACCCCAATTTTTTCAATTTTTGATCGTTTTTTGGAACCTTATTCAATTGTTTTTTCGAAAACTACCCATCCAAATCTGAGATAAAGAATTCAGTTGAAAAATCGATTAGTCGTGTTTGCTTTAAATATGCAGGTAATCCACTACTAAAGCAGAAAAATTACTAATGTTTTGCGTTAGGTCCATTTTGAAACTTTCAAAATTACGCATTTCGGTATCAGTACAAAATATGATCAAAATATTAAGACATGTGAATCTAGCATAAGCTGGTCAACTAGTTGTTCTTCCAAGCGTCCGTGGCGCGATTGCGAGGAAGTGGAAATCCTAATTAACCGGTAGGAGATCCAAATCCGGAACATTGAAATAGTTACAGTTTTTTGGTCGAATTTTTCCTGCATCGCATTGGCAATTTGTTAGAAACTGCAGCTGCTTTATTGGTGGCTAGTGTTAGTAAAATTACAAGCGGTCATGAAGCATATGTGAGAACGTGTTACTCCCAAGCCTTGCAGAAAACTTTTTCAAGGTGTCTTTTTAACTTTTTCCTTATTTCACTTTGTTTTGCCTGTTTAGAGATATTTTTTTTTGCATTTTCCTCGCTTGTGTTGCGAAGCGCAGCTTCGCCTCTGTGTCTTAATTCTGAATGAAAAGTTGATCAAATTAGCCAACGTATTTTAGCCGATGATTAGTACAAATTGGAGTTTGAAGTGATTTAAAACTGACTGTTTTGTTTCAGGGTAAAATTGAGGACCTTCAGCAACAAATCGAAGCTCTGAATTCAGAATTGTACGACAAACCTGTCAAAGAACGAAAAGTATGATTACTTCTACGCATTTGATGCTCTCAGCCATTCTAAACGTTTATTCACTGAATTATAGCTGCTGACAGTGAAATGTGGAATTTGATTTACATCAGAAAAAAGCTGCGTTATTTAATCAAAATTTAGCATTCTTATTGTGTAATTTTTTTTCTTATCATGAGTGGGTTGTTTTTCACGAACCGACTCAGGGTTTTGAAATTTAATGACAAACTGATAGTTGTTTACGGTGTTTTTATTTTTCTTAGTTTTCAGAAATGTCTGTGCTATGTTAGGTGATTGGGACAACGGGGAAGACGGTGGCTGAACTGGAGAAGACGATTGGGCTGATGAAGAGGGTGATGGAGAAGACGCAGGCGGAGAATGAGAGACTGAAGAAGAGTCCCCAGGTGGTGGCACAGTCCAAACTAGAACAGCTCCAACAGGACAACAAATCACTCAAGGTAGACGACTAGTATCTTACGACAGGAGACATGAACATGTGATATTTTCCATCACCTTTTGATGTTTTTTTCTTCTATTTTAATTGATGTTGTAAACTGCAATAAAATGTGTCAGCGTGAACAATTGAACAAACAGATTTCTACCACTTGTTTACATGCAAGTGGTAGAACAAGTTTGAAACCAGTTTGTTGAAATTTTACGAAGGGAAATTTTACGAAGGGAAATTTTACGTGGGTAATTAGAAAAGAGCTTGAACATGGACTCAAGCGCAAAAGGGCAGGAAAATGGGGAGGTTTTGTGACTGTTAATTGGACTGAAATTCATGGAGACTTGAATGATATATCTTGTAAAATTATTCAGCTGAATGGCGAAGAGATACAAATAAGCCTCAAATAAAAATTAGCAAAGTACCGTTTAGCGAGAAACCACGAGTTGTCAAACACTGGAACAGTTGAGAAAATAAAGGTTTCATCAAGTTGAAATTTTGGGGGCAATTGGGAATTAGTTATTTTTGTTGTTAAATTTTAGCATAGGTAATCAATGTCTGCATGTTTTCAACAGATTTAATTAATTTCAAATGATTTTTAGTTCGTTATTTTATCTGGTGGTGTTTCGATAAATCAATTGCTGTAGTTTGAAGTGTTTTTATTGTACTAATTTTTCTGAAGTTAGATTAATCTGACTGTGAACTCGGGGTGTGTAGAGTGAATTGGAGGAGTGTCGCAAAGTGGTGGAGAAAGACATGAACTCCAGATACGACAACCTCCAACTGGGCACTGCCAAAGTGGCGGCTGAGAACGAGAGACTCCTGTTGGAGATTCAGAAGGAGAGGGAGGAGGGCGAACAGAGTAGACTGGAGGCCACTAAGATGAGTGCGAAGAACGAACAGTTGAAAGAGGAGATAGAGAAGGTATGAACACTTCTTTATATGAACACAGGCAGTAGCGGGTTTAGGGGGGTGGTGCGGATCCCCCCCTCAGGGATTTGACCCCCTGCCGACCCAAAGGGTCCTCCCTTTGTACTATTTTGAGATACCGATTTTGGGCTGACTGATCTTGAAATTTTTTTAAAGGCGCCTTTGGCGCCAATCTATACTTATGTTGAGGGGGGAGCGCGCGCCAAAAAAACGCGATTTTCTGCTCGAAATTTTCCAAAAAGTGCTTTAAAATGCCTTTTTTGGCCTGTTTTTCAAAAATTTGCCTGCGGCGTTGAAAATTTGCTCAAATGTGAGGGTCTTTATACTGATTTGGGAGAGGACAGGAAATCAATTTGTTCGACCTAGAAAAAAGGTGGAAAACCGCCCCCGCCCCCTCCTTCGAGAAATTCCTTGATCCGCGCCTGTTATTAGGCGCAGCAAATCAAACATTTTCCCCAGTAATGCAATTGAACTGCCTAGTATCCCTCTTAGAAATATGAGACAAGTTTAGGCATAAAAACAAAACATGCAAATCTTTGAGTGGTTATTGATTGAAAAAGAAAGAGTGCTCTTAATCACGAGGACCATCTCGTCACCCTAAATTGATTTGAGCGCAAGTTTGTTTACTTGATTTGATGGTTCATTATAAACCAGCCATGCCGTCTTTTAAAAGTTTGCTCGGAACATAATTGGATTTAGTATGACCTTGGTCGCTAATTATTGAATTGTTTTGAGAGTAAAATACTTCTTACGTTTCAGCTGAAACAGACTGTTCAGAAGGTTCGTAGACGGGAGTTCCTGGACACATCCCTGAATTCAACCACTGGCACAACTTCAGGCAACAGACGCTGAAAAACCAGTGCAAAACAGAACACACAATTAGTACATTGATCCTTTAAATGTTTGTAAATCAACTTCAACTGTACATTTTATAGATATTCTGCGAATTATGTAAATAAAATTAGCGTATTCGATTATGAAAAGTGTAAATTAAATGAATTGAATTGAATTTAATACGGGTTTTAATGAACGTTTTCCTGATCATCATAGTGAATTCATCGTAGGCTATGGATGTGCAATCCATCCATTACCAGTATTTTAAAAGTTAATGGACGATAAGAAAACTCTTTCTTTGAGGTGTTTTTCCTTGTGTCTTATTTGAGCTGATTTTTTTTATTCGAGCTCGTTTTTCTATTTACCTGTTGATCCAGTTTTCTGAAATTGTGTGATATCCTGCTCGATAAAAACAGGTATTATGAAAAAGTTATTAGGATCGCAAATTTTCCAAAACTACACTCACAAATCCTAGATTTTAATTGAAATCAACTGGACGGGTCATGGGAAGTTCCACTGCTTCAGCGGTACAAAATTCTTTCACTCAGAAAGTTATGGCCATTAGAAAAGTCAAGTTTTGATTTTTGGACTGCTGTTTGAAACTTTGATGTTTCTCAAAAACTACCCCCCTCAAATCTGATATTGTGGTGTAAATGGGTAGAACGGGTTCTTGGGAGCTCCCTTGCATAAGCGGTTACGTCCAAGTTTTCTTACACGAAAAACTATGATCCTCGGAAAAACTAAATTTTTGATTTGTTGAAGCTTATTTACTTTTCTGGGAAACTACCCTCCGAAATCTGAGGCTTTGGTTTCAGTGTGACGAACGGTTTATGGTAAGCGCTCCTGCATAGGAGGTTGCACTCACGTCTTTTTACACAAAAAGTTATGATCCTCGGAAAAGTCGATTTTTGATCGTTATGAATATATTGACTTTTCTCAAAAACTACCCTCCCAAATCAACCTAAAGAAGGTGCTGAACAAATCTCCCCTGTTTAAGCGCTCATGTCCAATGCTTATAGCAAAAAAAGTTATTGGCTTCAGCAATGTCAATGTTTTGAGTTGTTTGCTTTTTGAAACTTTTGACTCTTCGAAAACAACGCAATCTGGTTTCACGGGTTTAAGCGAGGCAGCCGGCTGTGGGAAGCCTCCGTGCATTAGTTGCTACGCCTTAGTTTTATACAAAAACCAATGTCTACGGAAAAACTTCAAAGTCACAAAAGTTTTCACTTATACTTTGAGAGAGCAGCCACTAATGTTTTTCATGAAACCAAAATTTTTATTTTTTGAAATCACTTCCATCCCGCATCAGAAAATCAAAATTGAAAATTACCAAACAGGTACCTCCAGCTTTAGCTCGGCTTCTAGTTAATAGGATTAGGCTGTTTAATTTTTTTCCTACGTTTTTCAAAATTTCAAACGTTTTCCATAACTTGTCACACATAGATAATTCGCGTTTACGCTTTCAGCATTATGGATGAGTTCTTCAATGCGCGCATATTTTAGTCCATCTAGAATATGGCCATTTTGTGAATTTTCATACCCCCAAAACTTTACAAAAATAATCAGAGGTAAAAACATCTTTTTTTATTTGAACACAAAAAAAATCGATATCTTCAATGGGGTATATAACATTTCATGAAAACTATTATTTCGGTTAGCAAAAATTGACTGAAAAAATAACACCGAGCATTTATATTCCGTTTTCTTCGAAACTCTGAACAGTAACATAATAGCTGCTTATTCATATGTTTTTTCTAAAATTTATAGAATTTGTATTTGCTGAGCTATGATAATATTAACTTCAAGTTTGCTAGGAACACAAAAAGGGTCATTATAATAATTTTCTTGTTTCGTTTTTTTTCGGTTCTGAAAAACGCTTTGTTGTTTTTGTATGAGACTCCAATTCCTGTGAGTATATTATTGAATGATGCAATAATTATGGAATTTCGGTTTTCTGATCTGGGCCGCCCGTCTTCAATCTATTGATTTATCGATTTACTCAACATCCGCCAGTTTAGCAGACGATGTGCATTCATACCGAGCGAATATATGTGAAGCTCTGAGGTTCGTTCTTCTAATGAGGAAAGAAAACTTGAGTACAATAAGAGTTAAACTTGGCTATTTTGCCAGATGATTTTTAGTTGTTTTTTAGTTTCTAATTTCTAAAAAATATCTTATCGGAATTGCTTCTGCATTCTGATTGATCGAAAAATCTACTTACTTAATTTACCTAACAATCTCTCCCTCTTTCTTGAAAGTGGTAGAATGTTAAGTAGATTCATCAAATAAAAACAAAAAGCGATCAAAACCGGTCTTCTTTGATCTCAAGTCACCGCGATGAAAATCTCAACCTTATTTCAAACAAAACCCGATCATCTCGGTTTAATCAACCGCGAACTTGACTGGTCATTCAAAAACATTTCTTTATTTAATATCAATAACTAGACAGAACTAACTACTGAAATTTCTGTAATCGAAAAGGTGAATCAAAACTCGGCCTGAGCTAAGAATTTGTCCTTCAGTTTTATTTAACATTGGTAATCAAAAACCTCGTGAAAGTATAATATTCAAGAACAACCGGATTTAAACGACAAACTTTGTAATAGTACAATGCTTACTTGAACAAAAAATCCTGGCACAAAAAAATTGCGCAACTGATTTTCTTACTCATCACCTTTGCGGACCCAACTAAACTTGTTCATGGAGCTTACTCCGTTCCTCCTTCTCTTTTTACCTTCCCGTGAGTGATTGTCGATGAGTCTTTTACTTTTACTTTTACAGCTAGTATGAATACAGGTTTTAATCGAAGATTGGAACAGATTATAAAAAAATTAAAAATTTTGCTGCTTTTTGCTAATCCAACCAAAAAAATGTCTATTGCTCATTGGAGGAAGCTTGAAGTTTTCTGTGAGCTATATTATTATTATTTGGGATCGAAAAAAAACATTAAAAACATATATATTTTTTAATATAATACTAATATAATATAATACTAATATATAATACTAATATATAATATAATATAATACTAATAATAATCTCTTATTTTGCCGGAATTTTCCTATTTTCAAATTGTATCTTATGGGTTATTATTTTTGTTTCAATAAGAAAATCTCTAAAAGAGAGATCTCTTGAACACTTTGGTTCATCTGAACACAAAAATTTTACCACGAAACAAAAGTTTCACAGAGATCCTTTCATATGACTGGAAAGGTTCTCGCGGTAGATGAAAGATAATTTTTCCGAATCAATCATGAAACTAAATCAATTTGCTGATATTTTGGTGTTTATAAAAGCTTCAAATATGCATCACAAAACAATTCTAATTGGGAAGAAATGGAAAAAAAACTTATTAATATGAATTTGTTGGAAAAATTTGAAAAACGTTCTATCATTTTTCATAGGAACCAACGTCCACGAAAAGCATAAAATATAAGCAATTTAGATGCAACTTCGAAGACAAAAATGGACAAACAAAAGGGATTATAATCAATTATAATCAATTATAATGGATGTTTTTGCAAAACTAACGAAAAAGAATTTTGAATAAAAGTAATGGATTATAATCAATTATAATCGATTATAATTGTATCGAAAAATAGACGAATAAATAATCGATTATAATGGATTATAATTAATTATAATTTGATTTGAGAAAGAAGAGATTATAATCGATTATTAATTGATTAAAATCGATTGTTTCTCAATTTTAGTGAGACTGGTACTAAAATCGTAATATAATCGATTATTAACGCTTGAAACTGGATGCGGGCTAGTTTCAAAACTCAGCACTTTCCTAAAAGTCAATTCCAGCAATAAAAAAAATCGAAAATGTAATTGACGATTTTAAAAAGCTTGTTTTTTATATGGTTGCTTAGAATTTACATGGAAAGTCATATCATACCCATGCAAGACGGTCAAAACAACTAATTCTTTCTTCAGTTTATAAACTGAACTGTAAAGTTGCTGATTTTCCAACCAAACTGTTTGTTTGCTTGTAAACTTCAACAAAATAGCCTTCTAGTTTCAAAACTGGTCAGCCGGTTGGTCGGTCAAACTTGTACTGGATTTAAATGTGTATTTAAACAGTTATGTCTTCCTCTGGTGCTGCTTCAAATCGTCAACGGAACTGGAGCTCCCTGGAGTTTTTGGTTCCAGGGGTTCCGAACAATAGACTTTCACAACATTGTGCTGAAAAAAGGTGACAGTCTACATCATCTGAATCATCTTCAACTGTGGTATTTGCTTTTTGAGACTTCCTTACGCAATAAATTACTAGGCTAATTTTTCGCGGTTGTCTTTTATGTAAACAAATTTTAATAATCAAATTTGGTTGGCAATACACTAGTAAAAATATAAACAAAGTATAGTTTTTAACAATAATCATATACCAACAGATACTCGCACGATAAAAAGAAAAAATCAAATTGTAAAAATAGCCAGAAAATAATCGAATATGACCAATTTAAAACTTACTATAATTCAAACAAAATTGTTTTTTTTTTGAAAAAGTTTCCTAAAAACTATCCATTTTAATCGATTACAATGGATTTTTTCGAAAAATACTAACAAGATGTTCTATTTTCAATCGATTAAGGTCGATTATTTTTGAAACTCTCGGATACTGACAATAAAAATCCATCATTCATTAAAATCAATTTTTATCCATGGAATCTCGTTGCGAGATGGCTATAAATACACTGTGGACAAAATTAATCGCAATTTCAAGTTTTTATTTTCTAAAATGCCTGTTTTCAATGTCCATTTTGGGCAAAATTTACTTGGAAATTCAAAAAAAAATATGTAGGCCGTGAGCAAATAATAAAAGCGACCCTCTATGAAGTTATTTTAGGTTTATTTAGTTTGGTTTGTTTTGGTTCTTGAAATTTCATTTAATATTGATTTAACAGCGAACTGTTTTGATATGTCAAAAATTTCCTCACAATTTTTTCGAAAATTTTTCATCCAATTCCTCTACAAAACAATGTGGTGAATATCGAACGGTTTTCAAGAGTTTGGTTTTTCAGCTGAATTTCTTATGAAAACATTGTTTTCGTATATATATTTCTCATTAACGGGCGTATTTTTTGTTGTGATTTTGTTGATCAACTTTTCTTTTTTGATGCATTTGATGCCTTTGGGACGCTTTTATAGATGTTAAAAATTGTTTTAGGTTCTCTAGAAGTTATTTTTTGGGACATTTTTCAACTTTGCTGTGTTTTTTTTTGAGTTTTGGTTATTCAATTTAATCATAGCTTCAAGCAAGCAACAGATAGGACCTTTTCTTATCCTCAAGTTTACCTGTAGGACCTTCAAGTTGCTTGGTTGTATTATCTCAAACAAAGTTTTTGAATTCAATCAGGAATTTTTGTTTATTTGACCGAGTTTTTTTTCATGTTGTTTCTATCTAGTTGTTTTGAGAGAGAAAAGAAGGAATTTGTGAATCCTTCTCAAGTTTTATGTAATTGATTTCTAAAAAAATGAAATAAATTTTTTCTTCTTCACTTAGCCTACGGTTTCTTCAATACAATTATTATTTTTTGAAGTTCTCGTTTGAGACCTTTTTTTTCGAAGTTTGGCATTTCACTTGATTCACCTCTGTGTCAATTTAGATTATAAAAACTTACCAATAGTATCCGGGTCTGAATTTGCCAATTTTATCATCTGCTCTAGTTTTTAATCCTTGTGAAAAAGTGAGAAAAGACAAGTTCAGTAAAAATTTCACACTCATTATTTCATTTTTCTCGTTGAGATTGTTTGACGTCGCATGAACAATTTTTGTCCTCTGGTTATTCGAGAAAGGGTTCACTATGATGCGACACTTAGTGCAGATGAAAAAAATTGGCATTTTCAGACCCGGGTAGTATTAGTTCGTCTTTAAAACCAAACTTCATAGAGGGTAGCTCTGATCATTCGCTCATGGCCTGTAAGTTTTTTGTTTAGATTTTGAAATATTGTTTTTGAAAATCGAAATTGAAAACATGCGTTTTAGAGAGTAAAAACCTAAATTGCATTTAAATTTGTCCTCTAATGTTTTATATAAAAGTTAATCAGCCGGTCACCATTATAGAACTCATGGGTAGATTTCCCTTGTGATGAATAGTTTGGATTTGTAGGCCGATGATTAATTATGGGCATTACTTATGAATCTTAACGCTGCTAACAAAGGGCGAATTAGTAGTAACTGAGCAGCAGCTATATAACGCATCGAGAATTTTTGTGTTCAAATGGAGACACGCACTGTCGAGATTTGAACAATATTCGAGATACAAAATTAACTGTTGCTTATCTGGTCTGAAACACCAGTGAACAAATTGAACAAAACACACAAATTTGAAATTTTTTCACGCTAACATGCACTTTTTTCTAAATTGTATTGATTGTTTATTCTCGGAAAGATATTGCACCAGTCTTTCAAACATTGCACGAGCTTATCAAATATTTCACTAATGTTTCAAATATTGCACTAGCATTTCAAGTTTTGCATTCGTTTTTCAAATATTGCACTACTATCTCGAATAATGCACTAATTTTTTAAAATATAATATCGAAACGTACTGAAAAACTAACACAAGTGTTTTAAGAGAAATTTACAAAACTATGTATATTTAATTGTTGATGAAAAATCACTGTATAAATTTTTTTCAAAAACGCAAGAGAATCTTCACACCGTAGAATAATGCACTAATTTTTCAAATAAAAACAACGAAAAATAAAAATTGAGTTGGCATTCAAGATAATCCAAGTTTCAAGTGTTGTTCATTTGAAAACTTTAGTATTAAAATTGACGAGACTCAACATGAAAGCCGAAAATGAATGTCACTAAAAATAGAAGGTCAATGTTTTAAAACCATGTTTCGAATTTATTAGAACGTTTTTGCTTCAGCATTTTCTACTGCCTTCTTGGCTTTCAATCAAATCAGAATTTCAGCAAAAGAGTTTCACGACCTGAAGATTACGGGAGATTCAGACAGTTGATACTTCCTATCTACGAGGCCTACAACTTTTTCACTTTCAGTAACACATTAGGTGAGTTGTTTCTGAATCATTTGGTCAAAAATTGTCTGCGTCCATATTTTGTAAGTTTATTTTGTTCATTTGTCCAATTGGTATTACAAAAAAATATATCAACTCTGGCAACATCAATCTACACACAAATTTGATGAAAAAAAAACAATTTTCTTCAAAATGATTGAACTTTTGTTAAGATTCTGAATCAAAAAGTTATAAACTGAAAACAAGACTACTCGTTGCTTCAAAACCACTGTTTTCTTAAACAGTTTTGACCAAATTTTTTTGGTATGATCAAAAATTTCAAAAGTTTTCTGGAAAACAAAAAGAAAACTCAATAAAATTGTTGTCACTATGATAAATACGAACTGATACAAGTTTTTGAAAATAGTTAGCTTGACTTGGTAAATGTGATCTGATTCAGGGCATCAAAAAAATTTGCGTCAAAAACTCACTGAGGAAAAAAAGAAAGAGATAAAAGAGATAGAGAGAATGAATGTGTAAGAGAGAGAGAGAGAGAGAGAGAGAGAGAGAGGGAGTGGGTAGAGAAGAGAGAGATAGAGGAAGAGAATGATAGTGAGTGAGTGAGTGAGAGATAGAAGCGAATGAATGAGTAAGAGAGAGAGAGAGAGAGAGAGAGAGGAGAGAGAGAGATAGAGATTGAATGAGTGAGTGAGTGAGAAAGAGAGAGGGGGGATTGAAGAGAAATAAGAGAAAGAGAGAAAGAGAAAAAGCCAGAAGCTATATTACGATGCTAGACGCTAGTTATATCTTTTTTTTTTCTATTGCTTACAGAGGAACAAATCCAAAAAAAACTTAAAAGGTAAAATCATTTTCTTTTCATTGAAAATTACCAAAAACAGTTAGTATTGAAAAAGTTTACTTATGCCTTTGAACAATCAGGGCTTTGCTTTAAAATTAGCAGGTATATTACATTCATTTTTAAAGCTCCCTACTGCGGCATTTTTGCTTGTGTTTGCTTAATGCAAAAATCATGAATTGAAACATATCATCAGATTTGATGAAGGGTTGTAAAAATGAGACGCAAAATTCTACACTTTTTTTTAAAAAACTTTTTGTTCAATTGTTCAATTGGTATTATAAAATTATACAACAACGCTAGCAAGTCTTGTACACACAATTTTGAAGTAAAAATTTTCTTCAATATGATTGAGTTTTTATTAAAACTATGAGTCAAAAAATTAAAAATTGAAAAGAAGACAGTGTGTTACGAATGTTTTACCAATCAAACTGGGCCAAATCTTTTCTGTTTTTGATCAAAGATTTCAAATGCTACCAACAAATTGATACTATTCGAAACTAGAAACAAGTTTTTGAAATTAGTTTGCTTGACTCGACTAACGATTGTAATTTTGATCTAAATTTTGAAGTAAAAATTTTCTTCAATATGATTGAGTTTTTATTAAAACTATGATTCAAAAAATTAAAAATTGAAAAGAAGACAGTTTGTTACGAATGTTTTACCAATCAAACTGGGCCAAATCTTTTCTGTTTTTGATCAAAGATTTAAAATGCTAACAACAAATTGATAATATTCGAAACTAGAAACAAGTTTTTGAAACTAGTTTGCTTGACTCGACTAACGATTGTAACAAACTTACTAGGCAGAAATATTAACTTTTAAATATAAAAGCTGTAAAACCGAGGATAGAGAGAAATAGAATGAGAGAGTGAGCAAATAGAGATGGAGAGAGATAGAGTCATTAGAGAGAGAGAGAGAGAGAGAGAGAGAGGAGAGAAAGATGAGAGAGAGCTAGATGTTGCAATACGTTGCTAGACGCCAGTTACCTTTTTCTTTTTTTTTTCTATATCTTTTTCTATAGTTTTTATATATTTTTTTGCTTGTGATGGAATAATTTCAAAAACTTAATTAGAAAGAAAAACATTTTTTTTTTCATTATCTTTGAACTTCTTTCAAAGTTTTTTTTGACAACCTCGACTTATGCTTTTGACCCTAAGAAAATTTGGATCAATCGGGGTTTTGCTTTGAAAATGCAGTTTTGTTAAATACCATTTTAAAGCTTTCTGCTGCGGCATTTTTGGTTGTATTTGCTAAAAGCAAAATCATGATTTAAATCACTTCATTAGAATTGTTGTATGGTTATGCGATTGAGAATAAGCATAACACTAAGAAACAGTTTATAGAAAATAAATTGTTTTGTTTTTCTGGTAGATACAAACAATGATTTTTTCAATTCACCTTGTGCATTTTTCCAAAAAACTTATAAACGCACTGGCAAAAAAAAACCCACGCAATACTGAAAGAACAATTTGCTTCAAATTCAGTAAATTTTGTTAAAACTACAAATAAAAAAATGAAACTGAAAAGAGACTGCTCGTTGGGTCAAAACTGCTGTTTTACTAAGCAACTTGCGCCAAAAGGTTTCGGTTTCTGAACAAGGGTTTCAAAAATTTTTTTGAAAAAAAAGAAACCTCAAGATTATTGTTCGTTACTGTGCTAAACTCAGAGCGATTCATTTCAAAATTTAAAATAAAAATTAGTTGGACTCAATTAAATCCCGGAACAATCAAGGTTTTGCTTTGAAACGAGCAGTTTTGGTACATTTTTCTTGAAGCTCCCTGCAGCAATTTTCTTGCTTGTGCTTGCTTAACGCAAAAGTACTGAATAGACTCAAATCAATAGATTCGAAGACATACTATTACACCAATGAAAAACAACTTTAAAAAAACAATTCAAGTTGCTTTTCTGAAATTAATTTCCTATGATTTTATAAATATTTTTGGTTTAACTGTCCGCTTGGTATTATAAAAGTGTATAACAACACTGGCAAAATCAAAATACACACAATTTTGAAATAACACTGTTCTTTAAAGTGTCTGATTTTTGGTTTAAAATATGAATCAAAAGGTGATAAACTGAGAAAGTACGACTGCTCGTTGCGTCAAAACGACTTTTTACTTATCAAATTGGGTCAAATATTTTGTTTCTGATCATTGATTTCAAAAATGTTCTTGAAAAATGAAGTATCAAGTACATTTTAAATACGAAACGATGCCAACCGGAATTAAAAATGAAAATGTAAAATAAGTCTGCTTGACTCGAATAATTATGGTAATTATTATCTGAATCAAGACATCAAAAATGTTTGCTTTAAAAAAAACTTTGCTTGAAAAAGAAACAACTGACAACTGAATAAAAAAATTGTTTTTTTGAAGGCCATAACTTAAAAGAAATTAAAATTGTGAGGAAAAAAACATGAAAATAGAATGATTGAATGAGTGGGAGAGAGAAGGAGGGAGTGCAGAGAGAAGACAGAGAGAGAGGGAGAAAGATAGCGACAAATAGCGATAGAGAGAGAGAGGAGAGTTAAATAAACGCTATATTACAATGCTAGGCGCTAGTTTTATATCTTGTGTTTTTTTTCTATTGCTCTAATTCAAAAAATAATTAAAAGAAAAAGTTATTTTCTTTTCGTTTTTTTTGAAACTTAGGTAAAAAGTTCTGAACTAAATGAATTTGCTTCAAATCAGTTGCATTTTTATCAAAAATATGAGTCAAAAAATTATTAACTGAAAACAAGACTGCTTGTTGCGTCAAAACTGCTGTTTTACTAATCTAGTTGGATCAAATCACCTCGTTTTTTGATCAAAGTTTTCAAAAAATTTCTTGTACAAAACAAAAATCGAAAACATTGTTTTTCATTTTGCCAAACACAAAATGTTATGCTTCGAAACTAAAAACAAGTTTTTGAAAGTGATTTTTGACTGTGCTAATTATTGTAATTTTCATCTAAAATAAGGCATCAACAACATTTGATAAAAAAACTTAGCTAAAAGGCTTGTATGAAAAAGATTATACCAAGCAGAAAATTTTTTGTAAAGACCGATACATAAACATTATTAAGATTAGGAGAGAGAATTAGAATGAGAGAGTGAGTGAAATATATATAGTTATATATAGAGTGGCTAGAGAGAGATTGGAGAGAAAGATGAGAAAGAGCTAGATGTTGTAAGACATTGCTATTCGCTAGTTAAATCTTTTTCTTTCATTTCCTATAGCTTTTTTTATAGCTTTTTCGAAAAATTAATAAATAAGAGAAAACAGTTTTTTCTTTTTGTTTTTGAATTTCCTATGAATTTTTCTGACAACCTTGACTTTGCTTTTGACCTTAAGGAATATTTGGATCAATCAGAGAAAGATACAAACTATGATTTTTTAATTATTTTTTTTGCATCAAAATTTATTTGCATCAAAATTTCTGGCTCACTGTATCCAAATGTTTTTTTTTACGGATCACATTGGGTCAAATAATTTGTTTTCTGATCATTGATTTTAAAAGTTTTCATGAAAAAACGAGGCGTCAAGAAAATTGTTTTTTTTGCTATGTTAAATGCAAAACGATACCTTTCGGAAACAAGAATCAAATTGTAAAATAAGTCTGCTTGACTTGAATAATTATGGTACTGCAGCTTTTTTCTATTGCTTGCAGAGGAAGAAATAAAAAATAATGATAAGAAGGTATAATTCTCATTTTTTTGAAACTTAAATAAAAAGTTCTGAAACAAAATTTTGCTCTAAATTTTACGAATTTTTGTTAATGTTTCATGGTTGAAAAAACGACTCATGTCTTGAACCTTAAGGGAAACTCGGAACAATCAGGGTTTTGTTTTAAGATGAGCAGTTTTGTTAAATTGCATTTTAAAGCTCTCTGATGTGGCTTTCTGCTTGTGTTTGCCCCTTGCAAAAATTGAAACAGATCATTAGATTTGATGAAGGATTGTTAAATTGAGACACAACATACTACCAAAACAACAATTGGTAGAAAATAAATGGAAAAATATTGTGTTTCTGGAAGATAGAAACTAAGATTTTTTTTAAGTTTATTTTGTTCATTTGTCCAATTGGTATTACAAATATAAATATATATCAATTCTGGCAAAATCAATCTACACACAACTTTGAAGAAAAAAAAACAATTTTCTTCGAAATGATTGAAATTTTGTTAAGATTCTGAATCAAAAAGTTATAAATTGAAAACAAGACTGCTCGTTGCTTCAAAAACAAAAAAAAGCCAACAAAATTGTTGTCACTATGATAAATACGAACTGATACAAGTTTTTAAAAATATTTAGCTTGACTTGGTAAATGTGATCGGATTCAGGGCATCAAAACCATTTGCGTCAAAAAACTCAGTGAGGAAAAAGAGAAAGAGATAAAAGAGATAGCGAGAATGAATGAGTAAGAGAGAGAGAGAGAGAGAGAGAGAGGGGGGGATTGGGTAGAGAAGAGAGAGATAGAGGAAAACAACGATAGTGAGTGAGTGAGTGAGAGATAGAGGCGAATGAATGAGTAAGAGAGAGAGAGAGAGAGAGAGAGAGAGAGAGAGAGGAGAGTGAGAGAGAGGAGAGAGGAGAGAGGAGAGAGAAGAGAGAAGAGAGAAGAGAGAGAGAGAGAGAGAGAGAGAGAGACAGGAGAAGAGAGAGAGGGAGAGAGAGAGAGAGGGAGAGAGAGAGAGAGAGAGGGAGAGAGGTGAAGAGAGAGGAGAGAGGACAAAAAGGAGAACGAGAGGAGAGAGATAAAAGAGATAACAGAGAGGGAGAGAGAGATAGAGTGAGTGGGTGAAAGAAAGAGAGAAAGGAAAAGGAGGAAAGAGAGCGACAGGGGAGACACAGAGAGAGAGAGAGAGAGAGAGAGAGAGAACGAGCAAGCAAGCGAGCGAAAGAAGACACACAAAAACTAAGTTTTAATTAATGAAGTTTGTCTTTCAACCAGGTAGTTGCTGTAAACACCAAGTGCTCATGTATTGGCGCTATGGCACGAGGAAGGGTCTGTCGCCAGAAGGCTACTTGAAGAAGCTGACGGATATAACAGACGGAGGCAGACAACTCAATTGGATCAAGGTCCGATTTTACAGTTCTCCCATTATAGCCTCCCTGAAAACTATCGACCCCCAAATGTCAGAAAAAGCAATGCACTGAAGTATTTATTGTTGATATAAATAGAAGTATGAATAGAAGGGGGTAGCGCGCCACGAAAAAACTCATTTATAAAATCATTAAAAAGCTCATCAATTTTACTGTTGGCTCGTTTTCCCAAAAATGTGCCCAGAGTTTTAGCCTAAAATGAGAACTGGGTATTTGGCGTTTCAGAAATAAGAGAGAGGAAAAAACTTAAATGGTCAACTTATAAAGGTCAATTGATAAAATTTCCCCAAAAATCCGCACGACTTTTTATTTCGAAATCCGAAATTTGTTGGAACACTAACCCTTTAAATCAGCCCTTGTATTGGTTTTCTTTTGTTTCTCTAGGCCAATTATAATGAGACGATTTGTCTGAATGTCATCAGCCAATTGGGATTTGGACATGGCTTTCTACGAATTGAGGGTAACTTCAAAAGACATTCAGACTTCCTTCTGCTGCTACAGGAAGGCAAACAGACGCATATGTTTTCACCCAATAATGTAACAAAAGTCATAACCTTCTTCTGGTTCAAGTTTAACGTCATATGCAGGGCAAGACCCTGGATGTGCTACACTTAGACAATAAAGAAATTGTTTTATTTTTTTCCTCGCCACTTGGTTTTCAGATTCTGTCTTAGCTGAGTTTTAGCTGAAAAAAAACTTGATGGTATTTTCAGCGGTTATCAGTTTGAATGAATGAATTATTTAATGACTATAAATAATCAAATGGTTATTAAATCTCAAGGATAGAACTCACTGGCCATAAAAACTCCAGGAGTCATTTTGTTTGCCAAAACCGTGAGACGACACTTCGTAACAGGCGACAATTCGTAACTGTAGATTAAGCTGGGAACACTGATTACCTTCAATAGTCCTCTCGTGCCGGATATAAGCGCAGCGGAGCGAGCGTATTCTATTTGCCAATGCCTTGTTACGAATTGTCGCTTGTTACGAACTGCCGCCTGTTACAAATTGTCGCCTGTTACCAATTGTCGCCCTACCAAAGCGTTTATAAATCAGGTTGAGAAAAAACCCACTTATGAAACAGTTTCGAAGTCGCTCAGAACTATTTGTACTTGATTGCACTTCTTGGTTTGTGTCTACACAATGTGATGGTTTTTGTGATGCTTTTTCATTTCTTTGTTCATTTATCTGACATTTTTGTCATTTCATGTTTTTGGTCATTTCATATTTCTGGAAGAAACAAGTTTATCGAAAAAAAAATTCAGCACTAAACCAGATACTGAAATGTGCCAAACAGTTGGACACAACTAAATAATTAATTTGGAGGCCATCAGTTCTTATCTTAGATAACGAGAATGAGTTTGCCTACAGTTAATTAAAAGTAAACTGATCAATGGTGATTTTATAAACTACTTCTAAAAAAAAGGAAAAAATTAAGTCAAAAGTTATCTACATGTCGTGTTTTTTCAATATTTAACATCAAAAGTGGAGATTTGGCCTTTGCCCTAGAAAGGGCCCAACTAAATTTGATGGTACATGTTTGATATTTTTTAGAATAGATTGTACTGATTTCTGGTGAAATGCCGAATTTTCATATTTTTCAAACATTGGTTTGTACAGTAATAAGGGTTTTGTGAAATAAGGGATTACCAGCTTAATTCGGGAAATTTTTTACCACACATTCCTTCAAATGAGCTCAATGTCAGATTTGGCTGGTTAGTGTTTGAGAAATCTAATAAATAAACAAAATGGGGTCAAACATACCTTCATTGAAGATTTGAAAACAGAGTAGCGTAAGAAGAGACTAGACAAAAATGCAGGCACACAGATTAGCAGCCAATTTTTTCCAATGTTACAACTTTTTGAACCTTGTTATGTTGCCTTATGGAAAAAAAACGTCGAAGCGTGCTAAAATAAAAAAAAAATCGTGACAAAAAAGTATATCCCAAGCTTTTTCAAACCGGAAATAGCTGAATCTTTTTAATTGCCACATCCGTAAATAGAAGGCGACGATGGAATTCATTTTCGATCAATAAATGTCATAAATCGGTTCTCAGGTTTTCTCCTGTAGTGCTATCAAATCGGGCCACACTTTTTTATACGAATTTCTAATCAGCTCAAGTTCAACTATACACTTTATGTTCAAAATGCTGAGTTAGATCCAAGCTGCATTGAAAGAACGGTTTTCAAACACGGCCAGGATCTAACCTCTGCAAATTGGAATACTTATGTATCAGAACTTTATTTATGAATTTTTACTCCCCTCCTTAGTTTTGTAGGTTTAGTGGACGTTTCTTAAAAGTTACTTTATATCTGCTGCATTAGAATGCCAATTTGATGTCAATACTGGAGCAATAGGTTTGTGTTTTCAAAACAATGATTTCAGCAGAATATACATAAACAAGAATATAAATAAATCGGCAAATAAGAAATTCGCATGTGTTGAGTTTGTCGATAGTAGTTTACTGTTTGTTTCCACTCCTTTAACTGTTCTGCAGATTTTGAATGTCAGCAGATTGCTCGCGTTGTTTTTTTTCTCCAGACAAATTCATTTCGACTTTCAACTAGCTCCTTTAGACGGATTTTTATTTATCAGCCAAAAGCTATTGTTGTCCTGAGCTCATTTTTTTCCTTCGTGATCTTTTTTTTGCAAAGTTATGAGAGTTTAAAAATTGGCAAGTGATCAATAGCATCCCAATCGCGCGCGATGTAATCTGTGCTATGTGCGCTTAAATTATCAGGATCTTATCAGGTTAACTATCCCCCTATTTCGATTTTCGTTAACTATTCACCCCACCACCCCCCCCCCCCCATTTAGTTCAATTTTCAGAAATTCAACTTTGGCTGTCACACTTTCAATAGCTTAAAACAATTTTAAGAAAACAAATTTAACTAAAATTTTTTGTAGGTATTTTTATATAGGTTTCTTTCTTTTTCTTTCTGACTAAATTTTAACATTTTTAAAGACTTGTCTCTGGAATCCAGGAACATACAGAAACAAAATTGTGCGGCTATCCTGTGCACAATTTGGCCTCGTAATGTAATACAAAATACGAACGCGCAAAAATAAAAACCTAATTAATTTTTAACATTTTCGAAATGCTTATTTTATACAAAAGTGGTTGCCAAAAACAATACATGATGTATGGGGGGATAGTTAACAAGATCGAAACATCACACCTGTCAAACATGCCTCAAAGACATCGCAGACATTGTCCAAACATTCCTCCTCTAGCTGAAGTGACTTTCATATTGCTACCAAAAATATTTCCATACAAAAAGTTCCAGATATTTTCAAAAAAGTTCTTTACCGGAAAAGTTTTCTGAAAAGTTTGTTTTAAATTTATAGCCTTCGACTGCTTTGTTTGAGCAGATCGATTTCCTCACAGTTCGGTCTCGCAACGCTCAAGAGTTCTTAAATTTTGAGGATTGAGCAGTTTTCTGCGAAACGTGTTCTGGCTCAATTTCTCCAATAACCATTTTAATAACTACTGATATTATTAATAAGTAGCTTTGAGCTGATAAACAAGCTTGGAGAAAAAAAGAGTTTATCCGATAAAAAAACGGTTTTTACAATCTTTCTTTATTTCTTTGCAAATCTTTTGCAAATTTTATTCCTCAAAAAAACCCAGACGGTACATATAGAGTGGTTTGAGGAGTTTAACGTCAATGACTCCGCTGAAAACGAATATCTTTAACTGCTCCTGTTAAAAACTTTTTAAAAATCATTTTCAGATTTTTCTTAATCAACAGCTTTTCATGAATCATACAAGTCATAGCTCCGGTTAAAAATACGTGTATGGAAATTGCCGTTTGATTGTTTCAATGGGAAAAGGACTGAAATATTCCATTTTTTGCAAATTTTGCTTAGAAAATTTGAAGATAATTGTTTTTTTTTTAAAAAAAACCTTAGGTAGATTATCTCGTCCACATAATGATTCATATTTCTCGATTTGATTTAGTTTAACCTTGTTGATACATCCAAGTTATTGTTCCGACTTTCGATTTGAAAGTGACGGCATATTTGTGCTCGGGGTGGTTTTTTTTTTTTCAGACAAATTTCGACTTTTTAACTAGCCATTTTTGACGAAATTATTTTATATCATTCGAAAGGTGTTGTTTTCTTGAACTCAATTTTGAAAAAATATTTCACCTGTGATCATTTTTCGTAAAGTTACGTGGGTTTAACGATTGACATTTTGGCCAATTTGGGACAATTAACGCGCGATATATTTTGCGCTATTAACGCGTAAGCGGAGATTTATTGCGTCTTAGAAATCATTCCAAATTGGTTGAAAGAAGCTTATTAGCCATAATTGATTTGCTAGAAGGCTCAAAATCTATCCTTTTGTAGTTTATATGGCGTGTGGGCGGATAATTTTCATAAACATTTTCAAATTTAAAAAACATATATTCATTTTATTTTATTACCTTTAATTTTTTTAGGTTATTACTGCTCCATATAAACCTTAAAAGGCAGTGGGAGCATTCAGGGCTACGAGCACTATTGTTACTTTAACTTACAAGCGTGCATATGATAGACAAAATGTTGCAGCCTGCAGATTCAAAAAAATTCCATAAGTATCCTCCTACTGTGGTAAAAACCGGCGCAAAAGCCACTGCAATAATGATAATAGCTTAAAAGTAATTATGATTTTTTTTGAAAAAAAATCTGACTCTAAAAAACTCGCCTCAGGGATGAATCACCACAGGTGAATCAATGAACGATCTTAGGTGATTCGATTGAGTTTTGTGAGAAGTTCGCAAAAACGGTATTAAGAAAAAGAAATCAAGAAAACAGTCTTTACAAAAATAAAAACAAAAGGCAAGTTGATAAAGGTATTCCATGGAGCAACACATGATGGGAAGACAACAATCCAAAAACAACAAGACTGCTCGTATCAGGGCAAAACCTTGAATTTTCCGACTGCCTTTTAAGATCTATGGAGCATTAATAAAATGAAAAATTTCAAGGTAATAGAAAAAATAAAAAAAAGAATTTTTGAAAAAAATTGAGATTTCGTGTGAAAACATCACCCCACACGCCATATTAAATACAAAGTGATAGATTTTGCGCCTATTAACAAATCAATTATGGCATAAAAGCATCATTGAACCAATTTGGAACGAATGCTAAGACGGATTAAAGGTCCGCTTACGCGTTAATAGCCCGAAATTTATCACGCGTTAACTGTCCCAAATTGGCCAAAATGGCAGTCTTTAAACCCCCATAACTTTATGAAAAATGATCACAGGTAAAATATCTTTTCCAATTCAAGCTCAGGAGAACAATAGCTTTCGAATGATATAAAAAAATTCCGTCAAAAAATGGCTAGTTAAAAAGTCGAAATTTGTCTGAAGAAAAAAAAACCCACCCCGATCACAAATATTCCGTTACTTTCGTATCGAAAGTCGAAACAAAAACCATTATAAACTTATTTTTGGGAGCAAAAACTCGAAGACAGTATAGATAAAAACGCCAGTAAATAGATCTGGATACGATAACAAAGAGTAATTTATGCTTAGAATCGGAAGACAACTTTGAGATAACCGCAATAAGTGTGACATTCGGCCGATACAGTTTCATCTATCGATTACAGAAAGACAAAGAGAGCTGGAGTCATTCATGCAAATTTAATCGGTCTAGCTTTAAAAACAGGCTGCATAAACCGCGAGGCTGAATGGGTCCCAGTTATGTTAACGAATTACAAAGTTAATGGGAGAGAAAAGCAGAAACTTTATTATGAGAAACAAAAACTTCAGGAAACCTATTAATACGAAATGAGTTCGATGAAAATGAGTCGAACACCACCTAAATATCAGACTGAATAATCAAACTTAATAATCAAAACACGTAGGAAAGGAATCGCGTCCAAATAAAACAAAACTGCCCGTATCAGGGCGAAGCCC